GAGCAGGAGAGTGGATAGCAGGCACGCTGCGTCCCCCGGCCCCCCGTCCTCACTCACTCGAGGCCCCCGGCTTCTCCTCCGCCCTGGGGGGGTCCGTGGGGTGCAGTTTGCACTTGGAGGGGGAATGGCGGACGGTGGAACGGGACGGCCGGGCGAAGCAGGAGGTGAGGGACTGGGAGCTGCAGTCACACGCCGTGTCCTGCAAAGACAGACAGGGCACACGGGAGTTAGAGGGGTCGGGCACCCTGTCCCCCACCACGGTGGGACGCCCCGGGGGGCACCCTGCCTCGTTACCTCGCTGGCTATGGCCGAGATGAGGTCGGGGTCCCGCAGGGCTGCATCCCTCCTCCCCTGGCCGGGGGATGAGGGCTTGGGGTCCTCGTAGCTGCTCTGCTTGAGGACTTTCTTGTTCAAGACACGGGAGATGTTTTCAGCCGGGTGGTGGGTGGCTGGGCTGGGGTGCTCAGCTCTCTTGCTGCCCTCCTCCCCAGTGGCCTCCTTCTTCTCCGGGGGGGCGGTGGGGCTCTGTGCCCGCCCGCAGACGTTCCTGAAGAACTCCTGCACGAGGCCGTACTTGGGTGCTTCTGGCTTGGCCCGGCCGCTCTCAGGGCAGCCCGGCTTCCAGATGGACTCGGTGCTGCCCGCATGCTCCACCACGCTGAACAAGCTGGACAAGCCGTCATTGATATTGCTGAGGACAGGGCTGTCACGGGTGGTGGTGGAACGGGCCCAGGCAGAGCCGTTTTGCTTGCTCTGGTGCAGGTTCCAGAGGCTCCTGTCCTTGGAGGCGTCCAGCTTGGAGGAAGACCTCCTCTGGAGCTTTGGAGAGCCGTATTTTGGGGAGCAGCACGGCCGCTCGATCCTGGAGTGGACTTTATCCAGGGAGGAGGAGATCTGCTTGCTGCGCACGGACACAAGGGAGGAGCTGCGTGGGGACCAGCTCTTGCCATGCATGCCACTGCTGCGTGGCAGGTCGGTCTGCAGGCCAACGCTCACTGTCTGGATGGTCTGTGTCCCCACATGGGCCAGCCCCACCGTCTGGCTGGAGGTGCTTTTCACCTTCCTCTCCAGCGAGCTGGAGCGGATGGCCTGCCGCACGCAGTTGGTGATCTCCTTCATGTCATCACTCATGTTGCCAGAGATCTCCAGGTCGTGCAGTGATGGGGGGAAGCGGGGCACTGGTGGCACCGTGCTCTCCACTGTGCCGCCATCCAGCAGCTCCCGCTGCTGCTTGGAGAAGTTGCACAGCCACTGACTGTAGGTGCTCTCGGCGCTGGCTGACTCCTCTGGCTCCTTCGGTTTGGCCATGGTGAACAAGAAACCAGGTTCGATCATGATCTTCCCCTCCTTGTTGTGCACCAGAGGCGCCTCCAACCGCCGCACCACCGGTGGGCTGTAGTAGATGCGGATCCCTGTCTTGTCAGGCGCTGTGTAGCTCCTCTGCATTTGCTTCTGGGCTTGATCATGCCCGGAGAGGCTGCTTGCTTGCGAGTAGTCCCAGGAGGAGATGCCCAGCTTCTCCTTGGCCAGGCTGTCGGGGCCAGGTTGCTCAATATTCACATATGTACAGTTTGAGGGAGGAATGCCAGCGTTGTCCCGGATTCCATTGGGCAACATCTGGGTGGCCGTGGATGCCTTTTTGCCTCGGGAATGGTCGCCCAGCCCTGGCGCGGTCTTTCCAGGGAGGTAGGGAGAACAGTCGAGCAAGCTTTCAAACTCTGACATGGAGGAAACAGACTTGGTCCTGTGGGAGAAGAGAGGACAGGGCTCACATGGGGACAGGGCAGCAGGTTGGGGGGAGCTGGAGGCACCCTGTTCCCATCCAAACAGGACCCTCCTGGGCACCCAGTCCTGCTCCTCACGGGAGCCCTTGGCCTCCAGGTCAACCCTGGACCATGGCTGCGTCTCCCCGCAGCTGCCAGGGCTTCCGAGCTTGGGGACGGCCCTGTGCAGCCTCCTCCATGTCCAGGGGACCATGCAGGCACTAGCGCACTCACCTTTTGAGGTTGGTTCCCTTGGCTTCTGCTTCAGAGATTGTCTCTTTGTCTGTAATTTTTTCATTGAGAGCCTAGGAGGACACGGAAGGAAGCTCTTGTGTCAGCAGGCACAGGAACAAAGGACACACATAGGCTGGAGCAGGGGCTGCACCCTGCTCATCTCCAGCACTACCACCTTCCCCCGTGCACCCAGGCCCCGCATCACATCCCCAGGGTTACACAAGACTGCCTGCGCTCACATCTATTTTAAATCAACTTTTTACAACCTCACTGAAGCCCTTGAGGTTCAGCCACAGTCTTCACCCTCTCCTTCTCCCCAGTCCCTAGTGCTTCCCCTTGCAACCTCATTTGCTGTCTAAGGGGGAGTTATTTGGGGTTCACATGACCTCCCATCTATCCCTTAGCATAGACCTGAGCCCAACCAGCACCCCAAGAGCCCTCCACTTTCTCTTGCCCACCTCTTTCCAGTTGCTGCCATGCTTCTCCATTTCAGAGTGCTTCAATGCCCATGGGCTGGTTCCTTTCTGCAACTGGAGAACGTGCTGGTCACTCAATGTGAGCAACATGTGCCCCTCTGGGCAAGCAAAAGCATTTGCCGCTTGCCCCCCATGCGTGCACTGAGAAAATGTAAATGCTCTCGGGGGCCCGGGGGCCAAGCGGCAGAGGCTAGAGGACACATTCACGATCGGGGGACACCATACCTGGTTGAGTTTGTTCTGCAGGTCCTTCGCTTGCTGCTCTGCCTGCTGCTGCTCCTCCTTGAAGCGGGCCAGCAGCTCCACCTTCTCCTGGTTCCAGTTCTTCTCGCTGATCTGCAGCTGCTTGGTGAGGTCCATGACGGCACTGTAGGACTCGGCCAGGAGATGCTGGTGCTCCTCACGCTCCCTCTTCAATGCCACCTTCCAGTCTGGCAGCGTGCGCTCTGTGATCCCTTTGCCTGCCTTCGACTCCAGCTGTGGGGACACGGTGGTGGCTGTGGGGGACCCATGGCTCCAGCACGGTGCTGGACATCCCTAGCAAAGGGGCGAAGCTGTGGACATCCCGGTTCCCAGTGCAGGTCCCGTGCTGCCCAGGTTGGGCAACGAACGTGTCCCCAAGGCCGTGTCGCACAGCATGGCTCACCCGCAGGCACAGCCGAGCTGCAGCCGGCCCTGGCTGGCAGCCATGTCATGCCAGACGGCCCGGCCGACGGTCACCCAGTGGGACGTGGGCTGCATGTCA